GCGGCGAGGGCGGGGACGGCGAGGGCGGTGGGGGAGAAGGCGGGGGTGGCGAGGGCGGGGGTGGCGACGGCGGGGGAGGCGAGCCGAGGGCGGGGGTGGCGGCTACGCACGTTGCGATGACGACGGTGCACGTCGAGGCGGACTCGACGCAAAAGGCCATGTGGTAGTTGATCTCGGCGATGTCGGTGCCGAGCGTCTTGATCACACGGTACCTAGACACACGGTGGCGGACACGGCTTGGGCAAAGCCGACATTAAAGTCTGCATGAGAGACTGGGGCGGCGCCCGAGGGTCATCACGCCGAGAGCCACAAACGCGCCAGCGATGGACATGATCCACCACGGCGTTCCCGTCGACTCGCACTCGGCCATGTCGGACGAGAAAGCAGTGTAGATGGCGGAGAAGGCCGAGGTCGAGTTGGCCTACGCCTCGGCTGACCTCGGGTGATCTCGGCCGGCCTCGGGGTCGGCGAACAAGGCCGGTGTCGAGTGTGGACCGTGTCGTTGGCGCCGTGTGCGAACGACTCGAGGAATGCGACGAAGACGACGATGTATCTGAGGCACACGAGAGGCGCACCCGTGCCAGGGTCGCGCGGCCACACAGATAGGGCTCCTAGCAGGCTCCCGGCGACTCATGGCAGGGCGAAAGCTTGCACCGGAAGACGTGTACTGCGTCCTCGTGCGACTCGCCGACCTCTTCGCAGCAGGCCTCCATCTAGAGGGGCGAGCGAGGAGGAGCGAGTGAGGGGGGCGGGTGCGATGGGGCTGCCGCCAGTACCCCCTTCCCTGTCTTCCTCCTCCGGAATGATTTCGGTCGTTTGCAGCCCATTGCCGCCCGGGCTCGAGTGCTTTGCGGCGATCGAGTCGACCAAAGACGAGCGGGAGCCGATCGAGCCGAGGCTGTGGACGCTGCCGTCCATGCTCCCGCCTGTGGGACCGTGTCATGGAGGTGTCAGGAGCTCAGGACGTGTCATGGCCGTCCACGCTCGCGCCAGAGTTTTGCCGTTCGTGGGGGCCGCCGCCGCCGTAGAGCCAAAGAGCCCGGCGCCGTAGGTCTTGCTCGAGAGGTACCTCTCCTCGAGGTCCTTGTACGACGCCTGCTCACGGGCGTGCGGCCGTGCAAAGGGCCAGGCGTATTGCCGGCGTCCTAGGTAAGGTAAGCTAAACTTCTCCACACTACAACGTGGTGGGGCAAGGGGGGGCGACCCTCGCGTCTCCACGTCTGTCTGGACGACAGGAGCCCCACGGCAATCAAAGTGCAAGGCCCAGTACGCGCGGGTGAGGTGTGTGTGTGTGTGTGTGTGTGTGTGTGTGTGTGTGTGTGTGTGTGTGTGTGTGTGTGTGTGTGTGTGTGTGTGTGTGTGTGTGTGTGTGTGTGTGTGTGTGTGTGTGTGTGTGTGTGTGTGTGTGTGTGTGTGTGTGTGTGTGTGTGCGTGCGATACGCCTCGAGCCGTATCTCCCCATATCTCCCCATATCTCCCGACGCCTCGAGCCGTACGAGCCGCGCCGACAGCTCCTTGACCGCCTTGTGGCTCTGCTCCTGCTCGTCGCGCAGCGCGCGGACCGTCGGCATCGCCTAGGCGGCAAGGAAGGTCTCGGGCTAGACGAGCGAGACGGGGAGCGGCAGAAGGGCGGCAGGGGCTGAGGCGCGACAGATGCGGCAAGGGCGGCAGCCGTGGCAACTGGCAAGGCGCGGCAAGCGCGGAAGCGGAAGGAGGAGGGGGGGGGGGGGGGGGTCGCTGGGGCGCCTCACGCACGCGCGGGACGAGGAGCGACGTGTACATGTGGGTCGCCCCGGCGACAACGCACGCGGTGAGGGCTTGCTGGGACCGCTCGAGGTGCTTGGTCGGCTTGGACCTGGGTAAGGTAAGGTAAGGTAAGGTAAACTTCTCCACACACACGAGGTGGTGGGGCAAGGGGGGGGCGACCCTCGCGTCTCCACGTCTAACGACAGGAGCCCCACGGCATTCAAAGTGCAAGGCCCGGTGCGCATGGGTGAGATCTGGGCGTGCAGTGCAGGCGGCTGAGGCGGAATGTGTTCTGGGCCGGATGAGCGGCACGGGTGGGTTGAGGGCTGAGGGCAGGGACTGGGAAGTGTCTCGGGAGAGTGTCCCGGACTTGATCATGATGAGGAACGTCATGATCCACGCCGCGATCGAGTAGAGGAAGGGCGAGAGAAGGAGGGCGTTGGAGCCAGGCCGCCGCGTGTCGAGCGAGGCGTACTTGGTCGTGGTGTAGATGAAGACGGCGATGCAGCCGGAGAGGACGGGCGAGATGACCCAGCTAGCTATGATTGAGGTGAGGCCTCCCTTCCACGCCTGTGAGCCAGAGCGCACAACATTGAGTGGGCAGTTGTGGGGTGGCTCGCCAGCTCCGTCGGCCGTCTCTCGGGGGGTCTTCACCCAATTCAGGCACCCGATGCCGTCCATGTCGGCCGAGCCGACCATCGTCATGCCCACGACGCCCGCCACGATGGCGTGGGTGGTGGAGACGGGCATCGCAGCAAGGGTGGCGAGTAGGAGGAAGATGGCCGCTGCGAGGAGTGCGCAGAGCATGCCGACGGCGTAGACAGCCATCCCGGAGTGGCAGTAGCCGCATGCCCAGCAGGCCGGGTCGGTGGTGGAGGCGACGCCCTTCTTGATGGTGTCGCTGACACCATAGCCGAGCAGCGTCGCGCCCAGCCACTCGCCAAAGCCTCCCAGCGTGACGGCGAGGCCGAGCGGGATCGCGCCAGAGCCCACCTGAAGGGGACGGCGGTGGTGAGAGAGGTGGCGACGGTGAGAGAGCGTTGGTCTCGGCTGACGAGGGGCGAGGAGGCTCTGAGGCGGTGGATCACCGTCGCCCCCCAGGCGTTCGCACTGTCATTCGCCCCAATCGTGAAGCACATGAAAGCGGCAGTCACCGCGGCGACAATGAGCAGGCCGCGGTTGCCTTCCTGATCAGCGTAGACGCCGTTGTAGGGTGAGCAGGTGAACGGATCGGCGGCCGCGGCAGCGCAGTCGAGGACGCCGTACTCGCAGGCTTGCGACATGCCTGGGCAGATGGTCGGCCGTCGGCCATTGAAACTCGGCGGATGCTATTGTTTCTTTTTCCGGGGGGCAATGCAGGCCACTCTCAAGCCCTACAAGCATCAGATCACCCATTTGGGGAGGGTTGACATCGTGATTGAAAATTCCGGCGTGAAGAGAGGGAAAAACCCGACGGGAAGGCCCAGACCTACCCTACCTACCGTGTGTGTGTGTGTGTGTGTGTGTGTGTGTGTGTAGGGAGTCTGTGCCCGGGCGGTGTCCGTGTGGAGTCTCTCTCTGATCCCGCCTGTGATGCTGGGTGCGAGGTCGTGGAAGCTTTGATCCCAAGGGGGGGAGCCGATCCCACTCGTAACCAACTCTCAGGGGCAGTAGGTGGGCGAGCTTCAGGCACGCTCATCTCGATCGTCAAGGCGTGGCTACGCGCGGTCTTCCGCGGGGGGAGCTGCGTCGACGGGTGCGGGACCGCGCCGCAGCCAGTGCCGCGGCGAGGCCTCCGGCTGTTTGCGGCGGGCGGCTTGCTGCTCGCTGCATGGCGAAAAACTCGTCTCGCCACACGCCAAGGGCTTATGCTCTGGCGAGACGTGAGGCGCATGCGCCCAGGAGGGGAGGGCGCATGTGTAACGACGCTGCTAGAGATGCCTTTCGGGGCCCAGAGATAAAACTTCTGATGCCATGCGTGACCTAGTAGTGTCCCCAGCTATGGGGCGTGTCCACGTTTTGGAGCCAGGTGTGGTGTGGACGCGAGAATAGCTCCGCCGTTCATGGAGGCAACCGATGCGAGTCGACTGGTGTGTGTCGTCGTGGTTTCGTATCAAGAATACTCACTCACTCACCCTACCTACCAAGTCATGATACCCGCCCAAGCAAGAAATACCTACACCTGGCCTAAGCGCCAGTCCCGTGCCCAGAAAGAAAGAAAGAAAGAAAACAGACAACCCAAGGGAGGGATGGGAGGACGGCACGCCGCCACCACACAGGGATTTTAAGGAGAGGTGTGTGGTGCGCTAGCCGTCGCCCACCCTAGGGAGTCTGCCTCTTCCTATCTCTCTTCGCAGTCTCTCTCCGCTTCTCGCTGCAACCTTCATGCCACCTCGCGGCCGTCCCACTCTCGTCGTTCTCTCCCTTGTCATTTCCTCCTCTGTCGCGTCGTTCTCTTCTGCCTCGTCCTGCGCCGCCGCCGCCTGCCGGTCCCTTGTTCTCGCGGCTTCTTTCGCCTTTCGGCGCAACTCCGTCCTAGTGTTCAGCGAGGTGATTACGAGGCGTGAATCCTTTAGGATTCTCGCCCGCTCTGCTGAGGGGAGGGGACGGTCGACTGGGCCGGTCGCTCGACCCGATTCTACTCTACTCTCAGTCCACCATTCATGGACAATAGTGTCTGTGACGGCGGTCACATTCACAGCGAGGTCAGTTCACAGCCGAGCAATCGATCCTGACACGCTCCACTTTCAGGGCTCGCCGCGGCTCGAGCAAGGTCAATGGCGATCGGCATCTTGCCAGCTGTGGCTTGCCCGTCTACCGCTACCGCGCCTTCAGATACAGTCGCAGAGAGGCTTGGCTTCGCTCAGACGTCATTCGTGCCTTGCTGGCGCGTGCGGTGCCATGCTTTCCTGCGGTTCTCTACGTTTATCGTTTTTGTCGGTGCGATTGCCGTGGTGGCGGTGGGTGCAGCCGAGCCGAGTGTCGTCGTTGACGGCACCGCGCTCGTCTTTCGACTGCCTCGCTTCCTCTACGGGCGCGGGGACGCGTGAGTCAGCGCACAGTCAAAGTAACTGGTGTGCGTTGAATGTCTGTTGTCGTCGAGGTTCTGCTGGGTCAGCTCACCGATGTGGTCCCGGCCGGCCTACGCGACAGCATCTGCGATATTGCTCGGCCGCTGACGCCTCGATGGTGGGTCGCCATTGCGAGGCCAACAATCCAGCGAGCTATGCCAGTGTCGTTACCGTTGCAGTGGTTTGGGGCGCCTCTCTGGCACTATCTTTGATGCCAGTGCGGTTCCCCAGACTTGGACAGATGCCAAGTGGCAGTCCATCCTCGCCTACCTCCGCAATGGAGGCAGGTAGTCGGCATATGGTCGAGTCTGGCGTCGATAGGACCCAGACCGATGCATTCTGCTTCAGTTCCTCGCGCGCTGTCCCTGCAACCCACACTTCAGCCCATCGACGGCCAGCACCCAGTGTCTGATTGACCCGCCGGCTGTGCGTCAGCAGCGGCTTCAGACGGGTCTGCGCCTGACGGGGATTTTGTATTGACGGGCTCTGCAGACAGCGCGTGGAAGCAACGACGCGAGGCCGTGGCCACAGTATGGACTGCTGTGGTCAGCGGGATGGTCGCCGTGGTTTGCCTTGCGGATCTATATGAAATATGCTCTGGATCCGCACGCCTACGACTACTACCAGCGCGCTCGCAATCCGAGCAAAGTCTAGGATTGCGAGCGCGCTGGTAGTAGTCGTAGGCGTCACCAGTCACCTTGGGAGCGGAGCTGCTCTTAGTCCTAGAAGATGTAGGATTGCGAGCGTGGGTGCTAGCAATCGCACAGAGATGCTACGATTGCGAGGAGTGCTGCTCACAATCCTTCGACTTCTAGGATTGAGAGCGAAATATCTTTTTTGCCGCGCGTTTTCCATGGCGGGCAGCATCGGAATGCTTGCCCGCCCGGCGCCGCGCCCGCGAGAGGCTGCGGCGCCACCGAGCAGGCTGACGCCGCCGACGGAGGCTCTAGCTCCGTCGTCGGCGGCAGCTCGCTCTGCGGCTACTCCGCGGAGAGCAGCTGCGTGCAAAAGCGCTGAGCAACTGCCAGATGCAGCGCCTGCTGAGCTGCTGCCTCTGCTGCCGGCGCCGCTGTACTGCCGCGCGGCACCCGAGCCCGGCTGCTGCCTCTGCTGCCGGCGCCGCTGTACTGCCGCGCGGCACCCGAGCCCGGCTGCTGCTGCTGCTGCCCGCAGCCGTTCTGCTCGCTGCCGTGCTCGCTGCCTCAGCCCTGCGGCTCGCTGCCTCAGCCCTGCGGCTCGCTGCCTCAGCCCTGCGGCTCGCTGCCTCAGCCCTGCGGCTCGCTGCCTCAGCCCTGCGGCTCGCTGCCTCAGCCCTGCGGCTCGCTGCCTCAGCCCTGCGGCTCGCTGCCTCAGCCCTGCGGCTCGCTGCCTCAGCCCTGCGGCTCGCTGCCTCAGCCCTGCGGCTCGCTGCCTCAGCCCTGCGGCTCGCTGCCTCAGCCCTGCGGCTCGCTGCCTCAGCCCTGCGGCTCGCTGCCTCAGCCCTGCGGCTCGCTGCCTCAGCCCTGCGGCTCGCTGCCTCAGCCCTGCGGCTCGCTGCCTCAGCCCTGCGGCTCGCTGCCTCAGCCCTGCGGCTCGCTGCCTCAGCCCTGCGGCTCGCTGCCTCAGCCCTGCGGCTCGCTGCCTCAGCCCTGCGGCTCGCTGCCTCAGCCCTGCGGCTCGCTGCCTCAGCCCTGCGGCTCGCTGCCTCAGCCCTGCGGCTCGCTGCCTCAGCCCTGCGGCTCGCTGCCTCAGCCCTGCGGCTCGCTGCCTCAGCCCTGCGGCTCGCTGCCTCAGCCCTGCGGCTCGCTGCCTCAGCCCTGCGGCTCGCTGCCTCAGCCCTGCGGCTCGCTGCCTCTCTGCTCGCTGCCTCTCTGCTCGCTGCCTCTCTGCTCGCTGCCGCCGCCCGCCTGCCGCCTCTTTGTCCTCTCGGGCCTTGCGGGCGAGGGCGACGCGCCAGGCTGGCTGGTGCAGGGCGGCGGCAGGAAGAACGAGGACTTTACGGCTCTGGCCCAGGACGCCATGCGCCTCAGGCGGGGCGGCACGAGTGGCGGGGGCACCAAGTGCTCGCGCACCGGGAGCGGCAAGGGCGGCGGCGGGGACGCTGGGCGCGGCGGGCGCGACGGCGGGCCAGAGGCGGGCTTCTTCAGCGCGCTCGCCGAGAACGGCCTCGTGCTGCGAGAGATGCGCAAGGACGGGCATTGCCTCTTCCACTCCATGGTGCACATCCTCTCCGCGGCCGGCTGGGCGGACCGCGTGCGGGCACGGCTCAAGATTGAGCTCGACGCCGCGTCGCTGCGCTCCGCCTCGTGCAGGCTGCTCCTCGCTACCGTGGAGGCGCTGCCCGCGTCGGGCGAGGACGGCGTCGGCCGGATGCTCGAGCAGGAGGCGCAGGCGATCGGCCGCGGCGGCTGGGGCGGCGCGTTATCGCTCACGGTGCTCTGCGAGGCGCTCGGCTGCAGGATCGGCGTCGTGGAGTACCGCGAGGGCAAGTACGGGCCCGCCCACGTCCAGAGCCAGCTGGACAAGGGCCAGGCCAAGTACGTCTACCCGATCGGCGTCCACTCCGGCGAGTACTTGGGCACGCTGCTCGGGATCAAGGTGCTGGGCGCCTTTCTCGGCGACGTCGGCTGGTGCTCGGCGCAGCTGGTCAAGCGGGTGCGCATCGCCCTCGAGCCGCTCGACGGCATCATCCAGCTGCGCGACGCGCCCAGCCTCGACATCGCGCAGCAGGCGCAGCACTGCCTCATGCGCTACTGCTCCAACACCACCCTCGTCTACTTCCTGCGCACCATGCCGCCGTCCATGACCATCGAGGCGGCGCAGGAACACGACCGGCTCATCGCCTCGGCCTTCCACCGCATCGTCGGCTCCGAGGCGGGCTCGCCGGCGCAGTGCGAGCGTGCGCTGCGGCAGGCGCGCCTCCCGGTCAAGCTCGGCGGGCTCGGCCTCACCTCCATGGCGGCGATCCGGCGAGCCGCGTGGGTCGGCACCTGGGCGCTCGTGTGGACGCCGCTTCGGCAGCTCCACGCGCCTTTCCGAGCCGTCGACATCACGGCCGAGTCGGCGGCTGACTTCCAGCAGCTCTCCATCTTCACCGAGCTGCAGGAGGCACACAGCACCCTCCTCGATGACTACGACTACGTGGCGAGGACCTACGAGCAGTACGACCGCCAGGTCTTCGACTACTGCAAGGAGGGCCTCGCACACTTCCGATTTCACCCCGACGGCCTCCCCGACCGCGACACACTCCTCCCGTTGGCCTGCTTCGATTCTGGCAGTGAGCATCTACAAAGCGCACAGCGTCGCTACTCCCAGATCATTCATCACGCAGCATGGCTCGGCTTTTGGAATGCGTTGCAGCTACCGGGCGTGGCTAGGCGGGAGGCGGTGCGCTTCATCGCCGTCAGCCAGTACCAGGCGGGCGCCTTCCTCAACGCCGTCCCCTCGCGCCGCGACTTTCGTATCCCGACGTGGGCGCTGCGCATCGCCGTCCAGCGGCGCCTCGGGCTACCACTTGACGAGGCGCTCGCGCGGGGCGCGCCGACCTGCTCGGCGCGCGGCGGCAAGGTGCAGGACCCACTGGGCGACGCGGCCAGCAACATCGGCCGCCTCGGGCACTGCGGCCGCCACAACAGCCTCCTCGCCGCCCTGGCCAAGGTCATGCGGAGCGTGTGGGGCATGCTCGTCGAGGTGGAGCCGCGGGACCACCTCGGCTACTCTAACGACTACCGGCCCGACGTCTCGGTGGCGGGCGCCGGCCGCTCGCGCTCGCGCCTCATCGGCGACGTCAAGTTCAAGGACTCGCTCTCCTCCAACCCGGAGGACGTCGGCCAGCGAGGCGCTTTCGTCGGCCTCGGCAACACCGAGCCCGGCACGAGCGCGGACGTCTTCGGCCTCGAGCAGCGCGGCGCTGTCGGGGACGGCGACTTCAGGCCGAGCGACGGCGGCGGCTATGTGGCGTACAAGAAGGCGGACTACGCGCACGCCCTCTCGCGCTCGGACACCGACGTGCAGATGTACCTGTTTGAAACCTTCGGCGGGTGGTGCAACGCGGTCAAACGGCTGTTCTACCAGATGAAGGACAAGGTGCGCAACAAGCTCTCGAAGCGGCAGCACGAGGACGAGGCGAGCTGGTCGACGCGGTCGTGGCTTTCGCTGCAGGCCCAGCGCATGTCAGTCGCGCTGCAGCTCGCGGCGGCGGAAGAGATTGCGACCGAGCTCAGGCTCGCCGCGGCGTCGGAGGACGCCGCCGTCGCCTAGACTCCCCTGCGTCACTACGTGCCTCCCCGTCTTTGTAGCCTGGCGTTTGTGCCCCGTTTGTGCCGCGTCCCGTGCCCCCGAGTTCATTTTTATATAGGCTGCTCTCAATCCTTCCGGTCTAGAAAAGAAGGTTCACCCTCAGCGAGGGAGTAGTGTAAAATTCTTGACTCTCACATGATCGCTGGACTCGTGCCATTCGCGCTGGTCAGCAGCGCGCTCAGCGCGCCGCACCGGCCGCTTTCGCCTGCTCACGTATGCACCCCACGGCTCGTCGCGCCTACCTCCGATGGTGGTGGTCCTGCGCCACCATCGGGAGGCGAGGCCGTCGCTGACGCCGGCGACGGCGGCATCGTGCCGGCGGTGCTGCATGAGGAGATGCGAGACTCGTACATGTCGTACGCGATGTCGGTCATCATGTCGCGCGCGCTGCCGGACCTGCGCGACGGCCTCAAGCCCGTCCACCGCCGCATCCTCTACGCGATGAGCGAGCTGAACCTCTCTCCGGAGGGCTCGCACCGCAAGTGCGCAAAGGTCGTCGGCGAGGTGCTGGGCAAGTTCCACCCGCACGGCGACCAGTCCGTGTACGACGCACTGGTGCGGATGGCGCAGCCCTTTTCCCTCCGCGCGCCGCTCGTCGACGGCCACGGCAACTTTGGATCCAACGACCCGGATCCTCCGGCGGCGATGCGGTGAGCCTCAGAGCCCAACACCCGTAGCCAGAAGTCAGCGCTAGAGAGGGGAGAGGGCAGTGCAGAGCAGCGGCAGGCCCATCCGCCCAGAGGCAGAGACTGGCGCCTCTCGACGCACCCGCGTCGTTTGTCGGCCAATAGGTACACCGAGTGCAAGCTGCCAATAGGTACGTCGGCCGCTCGGTGTGCCTATCTGCAGAGACTGGCCAATAGGTACACCGAGTGCAAGCTGCAACGCCTCGCGCGGGACTCGCTGCTGACCGACGTCGCTCTGGACACGGTCGATTTCACCGACAACTTTGACGCGTCGGAGCGAGAGCCGATGGTCCTCCCCGCTCGGCTGCCGATGCTCCTTCTCAACGGCGCGTCCGGGATCGCCGTCGGCATGGCCACCAACATCCCCCCGCACAACCTTGGCGAGCTGTGAACAGCGTCGCTTCACACCTCTAGCTGTGAACAGGCCACCAATATCCCCCCGCACAACTTGGGCGAGCTGGTCGACGCACTGCAGGCGCTGATCTCAGACCGCGACGTGTCCGACGCAGAGCTGCTGCGCCGCCTGCCCGGCCCCGACTTCCCGACGGGAGGGATCATCATGGGCAACGCCGGCGCGCGGGACATGTACACGACGGGCAGAGGCTCCGTGGTGCTGCGCTCGACGACGTCCATCGAGGCTCTCCCTGCGGCACGCGGGCAAGGCTCTCGGCAGGCGATCATCGTGACTGAGCTGCCCTATGGCACCGCCAAGAACCCGCTGCTGGAGAAGGTCGCCGCGCTCGTCAACGCCAAGACCCTCGTCGGCATCTCCGACATCCGAGACGAGTCGTCGCTGGCTGGCACCCGCGTCGTGTTTGAGCTGCGGAGGGACGCCGACCCGCTCGTCGTCCTCAACCAGCTCTTCAAGAAGACGGAGCTGCAGAAGAACTTCCCGGCAAACTGGATGGCCGTCGAGGGTCCGGGCAAGATGCCCGCCCGCCTCACCCTCCGCTCCGCCCTCTCCTCCTTCCTCGACTTCCGCGTCGAGTGCGTGCGGCGCCGCACGGCGCACTTGCTGGCGAAGGCGGAGGCGAGGCTCCACTTGGTGGACGGCCTACTTCTGGCCACGCAGCAGATCGATGCCGTGATCGAGGCCATCCGTGGCGCACCCTCTGTCGGCGACGCTCGCGAGCTGCTCACGTCTTCGCGGTTCGGCCTCTCGCCGGAGCAAGCCGAGGCGATCTTGTCGCTGCAGTTGCGCCGCCTCACCGCCCTCGAGCAGTCAAAGCTCGATGATGAGAGGGCAGACTTGCGTGCCGAGGTTGCACGGCTGTCGACGCTGCTGTCGGAGCGGTCAAATGTCGAGGCGGCAATCTCGGCGGAGCTGGAGGAGCTGAGGGAAGCACACGCGACGCCGCGCCGCTCTGCGATCGAGGTGGAGTACGAGGAGCTGTCTGACCTCGACCTCACACCAAACGAGGGGTGCGTCATCGTGCAGTCGGCGCGCGGCTTCGTCAAGCGCATGCCCCTCGACGAGTTTGAGGCGCAGGGCCGAGGCACGCGAGGCAAGGCGGGCATGGCCAACCTGGGAGACGGCGACGCGGTGCTGCGCATCTTCTCCTGCGCGACGCACGACACGGTCCTCTTCATCTCGGAGCGCGGCATCGCCTACGCACTCGAGGCGTTTCGCGTCCCCGTCGCGTCACGAACAGCCCGCGGCGTGCTGCTGCAGTCGCTGCTCCCGATCGCCGCCGACGAGTCGATCGCGCAGCTGCTGCCGGTGTCCGAGTTCAGCGAGAACGAGTCGCTGGTGCTGCTCACGCGGCACGGCTGGATTAAGCGCACGCCGCTGCTTGCCTTCGAACGGATCACCGCGCGAGGGCTCATCGCTGCGTCGCTCGGCGAGGGGGACTGCCTCACGCACGCCGCCGTGTGCACCGAAGCCGACACCGTCATCATCGCATCGCGGCTCGGCCAGGCGCTGCGCTTCAACACGGACGCCAAGCAGCTGCGCGCCTCCGGACGCGCCTCGAGAGGCGTCAAGTCGATGCGGCTGCGCGACGGCGACGAGATCGCCGACATGGACGTGGTGCGCGTGGGGGACCGCCCTGCGGACGCCATCGTGCGCGGCGGCGAGGCGGGCGGCGAGCGAGGCGGGGAGATGCTGCTCGCGGTGACGAGGGGAGGGTATGGCAAGCGGGTGCGGGTGGACGCGTTCCAGCCTAAGGGGCGCGGCGGGCAGGGGATGATCTCCATCAAGTTCAAGAACCGCGACGACCGGCTCGTCGGCCTCTCGCAGGCGCGCGAGGAGGACCAGCTGCTTCTCATCACGAAGAAGGGCGTGACGGTGCGGCAGGCCGTCGCCGCCATCTCGGAGCAGGGGCGCGCCGCCACCGGCGTCCAGCTGCAGCGGCTCGACGCGGACGACTACGTCGCCTCCGCCGCCATCGTGCCCCCCGTCGAGCAGGACGACGCGGCGTGAGAGGCTCCACGCGGGAGCGTATTGCGTATTTTGGAGGAACGCCCTCTCTTCGAAGCTTGAGCGATCGACTTACTCGTACACTTTTGTCGACACCCATTTGTGCACAAATCAGACACCACACCTGGCTACTTTAAGCGCGATGTCTCTTTTTGTCCAATCGTGGTCAGTACTGTTATGTATATGCACTCTGCCCCCTATGCATTCGCATCGTGATATGCATCCTTACCGATCCATAACCTTAGCGCCTATACATTTACGTATTTGCAAAATACGTCGCCCTCTCCCACCCTCCCGCGTCGCGGCGCGTGAATGCATAACACAGATACATAATACATAGGCGAATGGATGCGCATTACGACCGAGTGTCACAAAACTCCTATGAATTATGTATTATGCATTTGCATTACGCACTGGGAGTCCACATCGTGTGTTATGTATTACGTATTACGTATTACGTATTGTGTATTACGCACTGCCACTGGGAGTCAACATCGTCTGTTATGTATTATGTATTACGTATTATGCGTATTATGCACTACGCACTGGGAGTCCACATCGTCTGTTATGTATTACGTATTACGTATTATGTATTATGTATTACGCACTGGGGGACGTGGGAGTCCACATCGTATGTTATGTATTATGTATTATGTATTGTGTATGATGCGTCATACATTGCGCATTGATAAGCCCGGAAATATATGTGACAAGAAGACCCCCAGCGAGCTCCGCTGTTGCCAGTGCACATACAACCCTAGCCAACTTATGGCAGCCCGAGCGGCAGCGCCAGTGCGCGCACATAAAGGGGGGTGGGTGGGGGGTTAGGGGGTGGCTGTCGAGGGCTATGCCCGAGTCTGTTGTTACCAGCGCACATACAACCCTAGCCAACTTATGGCAGCCCGAGCGGCAGCGCCAGTGCGCGCACATAAAGGGGGGTGGGGGGGGGGGTTAGGGGGTGGCTGTCGAGGGCTATGCCCGAGTCTGTTGTTACCAGCGCACATACAACCCTAGCCAACTTATGGCAGCCCGAGCGGCAGCGCGAAGTTAGGGTCTGGGCCGAGGGGGGGGGGGGTTAGGGCTGCATGCTGCGGAGCGGACTCCCCCCCCAGCTCTCACACACAACCCGGCGGAGGGTTGCGGCGCTTGAATACACAATACGGATACGTAATGCGTAGTACATAGCCCTCTCCGGCGGGCTTTCGGCGCTTGATACATAATACGGATACGTAATGCGTAGTACATAGCCCTCTCCGGCGGGCTTTCGGCGCTTGATACATAATACGGATGCGTAATGCGTAGTACATAGCCCTCTCCGGCGGGCTTTCGGCGCTTGATACATAATACGGATACGTAATGCGTAGTACATAGCCCTCTCCGGCGGGCTTTCGGCGCTTGATACATAATACGGATACGTAATGCGTAGTACATAGCCCTCTCCGGCGGGCTTTCGGTGCTTGATACATAATGCGGATACGTAATGCGTAGTACATAGCCCTCTCCGGCGGGCTTTCGGCGCTTGATACATAATACGGATACGTAATGCGTAGTCCATAGCCCTCCCACGTGCAGGCGCCGCTGAGTGATACATAATACGGATACGTAATGCGTAGTCCATAGCCCTCCCACATGCAGGCGCCGCTGAGTGATACATAATACGGATACGTAATGCGTAGTCCATAGCCCTCCCACGTGCAGGCGCCGCTGAGTGATGCATAATACGGATACGTAATGCATAGCTCATAGCGCCAATGCGACATCGGCAGCGCTGCACTGTTTGCTGAGACATAAAGGCGAAAACATCGTACGTATTGCATAAGACACGCTATGGACTATGCATTCGCGCGACGTCTGACCCTGCCAATGCATAGGCAGGACACACGGGTGCATATAGGGCCGGTACGTATACATAACAGTACTGACCACGTCTCTTTTTGTCGGTTCATACTATACAGAAACAGGAGCTGCGTTGGACACGCACAAACTCAGAGGTCAGAGACAGTCGCCCGAGGCAAGTGAGCCGGACCATCTGCTGGCACTGGACCATCTGCAGCCACTCGCGCCTCTCCTCGGGCGTTTTCAGGTTTGAAAGGTCCGGCATGGTTCGGTTAATCCGCTTGCGCTCTGCGGCTGCACTGCCCGTGACGCACCCAGACGTGTCGTTTGGACTGTTAGGACTCGGCAACCAAACTTCCGTCCCCACAAGTTTGATGAATAGAGTCAGTTGCGCACGTTCTCTGATTTGCAATGGATCGCTACACCTCATCCCATCGACAGGCGACACGCATTTACGCGGAATGCGAGCGGGAACTCAGAGGGGACGCGTCCGCAAAAAAGCGAGCTCTCGGGAAAGCGAGCGGAGGGAGGGAGGGAGGGAGCAGCAGGCAGCAGGCAGGCCGTGAATGATTGCCCCTTCTCCGACTGTCCCGGCTAGTTTCCGCGAGGTCGGGCGGGAGTACTCCCTTCTCCGCCCGGGACCTAGCGCGGGTGGGTTGGAGCGGGCTCGCTGCAGGGAAGGGCTGTGTAAGAAAGAAGCCGATCCCCGTAGTCCGCCCCACTCCTCCCCAACCCCATCGGCCGTGTGTGTGTGTGCGGTGTGTGTGTGTGTAGGGATTTCATAAAGAAGGGAGGGAGGTGCTACCCGGTATAGCTGTCTTCCACGTTTGCCCTCGGCCGAGCGTGGACCGTGGTCTGCCTCTCCCCATCTACTCTCTTCGCAGTTTCTCCCCAAGATTCTCGCATGATCTCGCTTTCCCAAGCTATTTTGATCTTGACGGCGCGCGTCAGGCTTTTGCCCTATCGCTACTATCTGCCTCGAGGCGCTCCGGCTGCGCCTGCGGCTCCCTCGCGCTCGCGGGGGCCGGGACCGCTCTCTTGCCCGCCGTGCGGTGTGTTATGATTGTGTGCGGCCTGGCCTCTCCAAAAATAACCCGTGGCCATCTGTGGGCCATCTGTGTGTCCGCCTTGCTTTGTTCCATAGACCATACTTTAACATATCGTTATCGAAGATAGGCTAAAGCCTAAAGCCGTAGCTGACAAAAAATCGCCCAGACCACAATGTACACGTCTGCAGCCTTGGGGGAATCTGGGGGCTGGCCGGCCCGAGGGCCCAGGCGCCATGACCTTCTTCCGCCGAGGTGTCGCCATTCTCGCACTGCAGTCCGCAGCGCGCGGAGACGGGGCCAGGGCGCTCGATAGAGAGAGCGGCTCAGCGGGGATGCGCTCCATCGTGGTGGGCCTATCCCCTCAGCTGGCAACCTTGGCCTTCTTTTTCGGCGCCTCCTCTTCCTCCTCCTCCTCGTCGTCGTCTCCCTCCTCGTCGCCCTCCTCGTCGCCCTCCTCGTCGTCCTCGTCCTCGTCGTCCTCGTCCTCCTCCCCGGAGTCCTCCGCCTCCTCCTCCTCGTCGCTGCCGTCGCCCGCCGCCCCCGCTCGCTCCTTCATGCGCCGAATCACCTCCTCGATGGGGAGGTTGGCCTCCTCCTCCAGCGCGGAGATCTCCTTGGCCGTGTCGGCCTGCGGGCGACAGGAACTGCAGGTCAGATGAGACGCTCAGCCACGCAATCACGGCACAGCGCAGCGGCAGTGAGCGATTCGGGCGACGTCCGGCCAAACCCAAACCCCTCCCGCCACCCGCCCGCCGCGCCTGGGGCAGCGCCTCCTCCTGCTGCAGCGTCGACTCGTCGTCGAGAGCCGCCTCGGGCTTGAACCTGTGGCGGCGGAGCAGGACGGGACGGGTGTGGTCCGACGCAGAGGAGGCGTGGCGGCGGGGCGCGACGCACTCGTCGTCCTCCGCCTCGGCAGCCTTGCCGGGCGGCGCCGATGAGGCCGCGCTGGTCGCCATGAACAGCGGGGGAGGTGCTTTGAGCGGCGCGATGAGCGGCGGCAGAGAGCTGACAGAAGAATTCTTGAAACACAAGCCTCTCTCACAGCACACTGGCACGACAAGGGCGCGGACTGGCGCGGACTGGCACACACAACGGCTCACCACCGGAGCCGCCTAAGCGACTCCGTTAAGAACGGCAATGCACTCCAGAGAGAAGAATTTACTGCCGCCTCCCTCGCACAACACTGGGCACGGGACTGGCGCGCACTGGCACTAACACAGGTACACAGAGAGAAGAAATCGTCGGCCAGGACGTCGCCCTCCCTGAGTTATGTGTACGCCAACTCAGGGTGTGTGTGTGGCAGCCAGCTGGCTGTGTGTCTTGTGAGCCTGTTTGTGTCTGTATGTGTCGCTCGTGCGTGTCGTCATCATCTGTCTAGCGTCCACCCATACCGCGTTGGTGTCCAGTCCGAGCCTGGCTGTTCTTCACCTTTCTACCTAACCGAAATCACTACGGTAATTAACACCCGTTCTTACGCGAATGCACTGACGTCTGAACACGCTGATCGTCTCGATCTGAACACACTGAGTCGTGCGTGCGGCCGGCGGGGCCGCCGCACTCGGGGGCCTACGTCTCGATTCCGGAGTTGCGATCGGCGCCCGATGATGTCGTCGTCGCCATTCGCGCGCGTTCGAGCCGCTCTCTCTGGGGCGACGAGACCGAGGAACCGGGGTCGCTCGGTTGCCTCGAGCCGGCCGTCGCTGTGAGGCTAGCTGTGAGGCCCTGTGGCAACGAGCCCGTCACGTCGTCGTCCGACAGCGCGCGCGGCAGCCGCAGCCTCGACACCGAGGCCGCCGGCGCCGCCTCGGCGGGCCCGGCAGGCCGGAGATGGCTCAGCGAGTCGAGCGGGTTCGCCACCCACGGAGGCTTGAGAGTCTTGCCGCCGCCCGCCTTGCCGCCGCCGTCCTCGCGCGGCGGCTTCCCCTTGCCCCTGCGGCCCCACCAAGAGGGTTTGCTGCCCGGAGCTGCAGCGGTCGTGGCGCTGCCGGCAGCCGACGGCTCGGCGGGCTGGCGCGGCTCCACGAGCGGCGCCGGAGGGACGTACGGGGCGCGGAGCGAGGAGGTATGCGTGAGAGGCAGGACGGCGTGCTCCGGCGGCGGCGTGCCTGGCTCGGCTATGTCGATGGCGACGGTGCCGTGGGAGGAGGAGGGTACCCCTCCCTCCTCCTCTCTTCCTACCGGCGCATTTCTGGACCCCGCTCGTTCGCGCGCGGCCACGCGCCGCCTTTTTTGTCTGACCCCCCCCCCCC